CCACTACTACCACAACCACCACCACCACCACCAAGATTACTATTACTGCTACTACTACTACTACTACTACTACTACTCCTCCTCTTCTACTACTACTACTACTACTACTACTACTACTGCTACTGCTACTGCTACTGCTACTGCTACTGCTCCTGCTACTACTGCTACTGCTACTCCCGCTGCTCCTGCTGCTGCTCCTACCAGCTGTACCTTATCTTATCAGGCCAATGGCGGCCGCAACGCACAGTTCAGAACGTGGCCTGCTCCTGGATCATCTGTTGTCTAACCTGCAGGTTGCGCAACGAAGGCTTGCAGGTGCTTCTACGGTATGTGGACTCGATGGAATTCTTTGTGCCCGGGGGAGTAGGCGAAGCAAAAAGATCGAACTAACCTGCAATTACCTGGAAGACCTATGGTTTAGGCGCCCTTCATTTGTCCGCCGTGTCCGGCAGACTTCTTCGGAAGAGTCCCTCGGTTTCAGGCATGAGTTTTCATGTTCCGCTTCCGTGATACTCAGAAACGCGAGCGCCGATCTGTCGCTTCCATAATCACCAACACGTGATCTTCATCGTCATCGTCGACAACAGGTGTTGCCACGGTCGTATTGCAAAGACAGTGGGGGCGTGGCCAATCACAGAAAGTAGAAGATCTGGCTTCATAATACTCCCCAAGCACAACAAGAAGTCGCCTGGTGAGTTCCGGATAGCTATAGGATGAGGCGGCTGTGGATGGATGCGCCCGCAACGGTCATCAAACACCACCGCTCCTGTGTCATCACGAAGCACCCTTGCAAGTGTGGAGGATGGATGCAGGCTACACAAAAGTCCACATTGCACTGCTGGTGAAAGGAGGCGATGCGGGTTCCCAAGCTGCAGAGTGTCATACCTTGATATCCCTGCACCACAAACCATCCGCATTGACTTCGACTCATAGTACCAAGGACCCCAAACCCTAAAGCCTTAAATCCCCAAAGCCCGAACGAAGAAATGCTGACCACGATGCCCTTGAGACTGTGCAGTCGGCAGTCCATGAAGCACCTGCTCCAACTTCTCGATGTAGGCCAGTCTCTCTGCCACCTGAGCTTCCGACTTTAAGGTGAGCTCTTGGGTTGAGGGTATGGGGCTTAAGGCCTAGGGCATTAGGGCCTGATCCTTTTCTTGGAGGTTCGGGGTTTCGAAGTTGAAAGGCGTTTACGGTCGACTTCCCTTCCGGCCAGGCGTGAGACGAGTCTTTCTTAAGGCAGTAGCACCGGCAGCCCTTTGTTAGGCAAAAGCATCCCAAAACCCGGGGCAAGAAACGTTTAAAACAGTAAAATGTTTAGAAGAACACAACTAAAGTCTTGGAAAACCAGTTCAGTGCAGCTTGCTCCCGGCTGGTGACCATACGCATGCATCAGTTTCTTCCATCACACGGTGATCTGATGGAGGCTGGGGCATCGTGCGGATGCAACAACGAACAGCACTGCCACAGACTCTGAAGCTTCTGATCAAATCTGACCCTAACCCCCCAGGTACCTAATATATAGAGTACTAGAGCCCCTAGGGCACTATATAGTAGATACTTGGGGGGTTAGGGTGAGTTCTCACGACTCACGACGACACGTGGGAAACTCTTCAGCATTCTGAAGTCAGCATCCGCCGAAGAAAGAGATCTGCCATCTTGGGGAATCCTTTGGGAGCCCTGAAACGACCCCGTACACCAGCGTTCGCCGCGGTTGAACCTCGAGGCGCGGGCCTTGATCTGCATCTGTGGTGGAATCCTGCGCAATGCTGGTTCGGTCAGATGGGCGGCAAAGTTTTAGAGAGAGAGAGAGAGAGACAGAGGGAGACCGCATGCAGATGTTTGTGGTATCTAGATACTTAGATGTCGCATCAGAGCTCTCCATTTTCGGACGCAGTGAACCGTGGAAGACGATGGAGCATGGATTGAAGGAGTGCCGAAACGGAAAACACGTCCATCCGTTGCTTGCTGAGGCAGTGGCTGCCCAGTCTTGGGATCTGTGCCGAGCACTCGGCGGAACAGCAGCACGTTCGCCTGTCGCTGCATTGCAGGTGTCGTAGCATGTCGGCATGGAAGAGCACGACCCATCTTCACCAAGCTCTGCGATGCGGTTGAGTTGCATCAATGCCATATGTCTTTACTCACTTGTCTTCAGTATCTCATTCAAGACTTCGAGTGTTTCAGAATTTACGGAGATGGCCTGCGGATTGGGAGCGCCTGAAGTGGCCGCTCATCTAAGCATCCTTCTCAAAAACTCGCCCACTTCGTCATACACCGGAACAGACGTGGCCGAGTGCCAGGACCAAGATCTCGGCCTGCAGGCCCTGAGGCCAAAGCCGCAAAGAGGCGTACAGAGAATATAAACTCGTGAGTCGGATTTCTGCGAAAATGACAACCAATAACAGTCAAGCCCACAAAACCAAACACCACCCATTGTCGATGCTTTTCAAAGCCCCGAAGTCGTCTGCACAACGAGAGTTTGTGCGGGCTTAGCTCGGACCCACATCTCACCTGCCTCTGGCGAGTGGTGGTCGTAATGCTCCCAGCCGCGCGACCTTCGGCGGAGCACATGACAGCATCCTCTAACCGGTCAAGCATACAAGAATAAGACGAAGCAGCAGATCTTCTCGTGAGGAGGGGCGCCAAACCCTACACACTCGCACTCTCCGGGATGTCGGCATGGTGATGCCGCATTGACGCCACTCCCATTCCTGCCGAGGAGGCCCCAAACGGTTTGAGTGTTTGGGTTTAGGGCCTGGGCCGAAGCCCTGAAGCCTCCTCAACCGCAAAGTGGTCTCAGGGAGGGGCGCCTCCCTGAAGACCTATGTGCAATGAAGGATCCTTAACAATTGGAATAGGGCTTTGGGTAGACTATGGTATGATTGAATCGGGACTGTGACTGTTATAAGGGGACATTCTTGCAAGTCCTTCAGGCCCCCATATTAACGACCCGTTGTTGACAGGCCCACGCTTATGGCGCAAAGCGGAAACCACTAAATCGAGTTTTTGACGGCTACAGGTCCGAGGGACATGGGATCTGAGGCCTTCTGCGGTCTCAGGCTTTGTTTAAGAGTTTAATGGTTTCTACGATTGAAGGAATGACAGTGGAGGCTCCCATACGAGGCTGCTGCTCTTCAACGCCGCATGCAAGCTCTGCTCCGAATCAAGACATCTACGGAAACTCTGACAGATGGAAGCCTTGGAATCTTAGCCAAGGCTAGCCAATCCCGCACCTCAACACCGCCCAGGCCTCCATCAAACGAAGGATGGCTCAGACCATGAAAACCACAGCATGCAATGCTCTGTCTCCTCCATGGTGCGCCCCTGGTTGATGCCCGGAAGGCTCGGCACGAGGTGCCGGGGAACAGTGACCCGCCTCCAGGCGAGCTTCTTGGCCCTTTCTCACAACTGCCAGTCAAAGTCACAGTGCTGGTGGCAGTGGCGCAAGCATCAGTGCCGTCCTTCGACAACAATGCGTCGCCGTCATTTTGATCGCCAATGGTGCCGGTGCTGGTGCTGATGCTGGTGGCAGTCGTCGCGGTAGGGTTCGTAGTAATAGTGGGAGTGGTGGTGGTAGTGGTAGTAGTAAGTAGTAGTAGTAGTAGTAGTAGTAGTAGTAGTAGTAGTAGTAGTAGTAGTAGTAGTTAGTAGCAGTAGCAGTAGCAGTAGTAGTGATAGTAGTAGTAGTAGTAGTAGTAGTAGTAGCAGTAGTCGTAGTAGTAGTAGTAGTAGTAGGAGGAGGAGGAGGAGTAGGAGGAGGCGGAGGAGGAGGAGGAGGAGGAGGAGCAGCAGCAATAGCGATGGCAGCGGCAGCAGCAGCAGCAGCAGCAGCAGAATCTTGCAGAAGTTGCAGTAGGAGTCTTAGCAGCACTTTGCAGCAGTAGTCTCTTATGGCGTAAGCAGCATCGGCTTCAGTGGCAGAACATGTCTGACCACATCTGGCCACACACTCTTCGAGGTTATGCCGGGCCTGTACTCGTAGATGTCATCGCAGTACTTGTCGGAGTAGTCTGTCCTGCTGAATTTGTGGCACGAACTGAACAGCAAAGCTCGCAAGATCATGCTGGCACTTGCCGTTAGAAAAACAAAAAGAAGTCCATGAACTTGTCAACATTGACTTGCTGAATTGCTGTACGGCTGTATTACCCCGATCCTGAACCCATACCCGCCCGACCTCAAATTCTACCGTAAGTTTGAGAACCGAAGTGAGGCCCAGGCTCTTCGGCGTTTGCAAGGGTGGAAGCCAGAGTCACCTGTCTATCCAGGAATGCTAGCTGCTTCACTCTTCAATCCAACGTCTGTCTCAACGTATTCAAATCCTAAGCATATTTGCGTCGTCGGAGTCAGGTGCAGTAACACAGTACATCAACAAAGCTTGCGCTGGCGACTGCAACCCGACGCCAAGACATAAATCCGAGTCAGCTCCTGCATTATGAAACACTTCAGGCCTGTCGCATCCCCCCCCAAGCGAAACCCCAGACAGCCAAGCCCTTGCATGATGGCCTGCGCCTGTGCCAGAGTCTGCTGAAGCAGCCTCTGTTCGGCTCCCGGCTTACTTTTCTCGTTCAGGAGCTCAGCCCTTTTCCAGCTTACGCCTTGGGGCTTAAGAGCTAGATCTCAGTTTGGTCTCCGAAATCTTCTGTTGATGAGCCCATGCCCCCTTAATCTAGGTGAAAACTCTCCTTGCTGGGAGTGCGTCGTAGCAAACAAAAACATCATCCAAAGCCCGAGAACAACCCTCCGCCGCAAATCCGCATCCCCGTTTGACCCGTCACCAAAGACATCTTATCAAGACCTACAGTGTTTGAAGCTAGGCTCATCCGACCCTGAAGCCTGAAGGCTGCAAACTCAGCACCGCGCGCTGCGTCCATGTTCATGTCGAGGTGGGGGCAGAGACGGGTAGGCACTACTTCCTCCGATGATCCTACAGGCTGCGGCATACTGAACACCTCCTGAATCCTCCGACTCCTGCTCGACGAAACTACGCCCAAGCAAGCTGAAAGCTAGGGTTCTCTACCAGCACTGACATACAGAACGCCAGCTCACTCGCACGGTCAACACCCCTGATCTCTCGCCCGCCGAGTGTGCTTCTTGGAAGGTTCAGCTAGCAAGATGTGGATCAGTGCACTATGAAGGCCGTGGGCAGCCGCCATGAGCATGGCTTTGCCTGTCGGTTTTGTCTAAAATGCAAACATGCGACGGTCTTCAGTTCGACACCTGTCCACAATTTTGGTGAGATTGTGAAACGCTCACGTAGACTTGCAATGCGGAAGGCAAGCATGTTGTTACTCTAGGCAGAGGTGCTGCAGCCTTGCATCGTACATGGTCCAACTACGTCTATCTTCGGCATAATCTAGGGGCCTAAGTAATTTCCAATTTTATTTTGAGGGGTTCCTTATGATATATATATATATATACATAAGTATATATATATATATAAAAGAGTATAATGGACGCCACAACCCTACTCTAATCATTAAGGCCCCCCGTGTTAGTGTAGGCCCCTCCAATATTCGACCCATCGGCTCCCAAGCTCTCAGTCTTCCCCCTCCTGTGGTTTAGGGTTTAGGGTTTAGGGTTTTAGGGTTTAGGGTTTAGGGTTTAGGGCTTCACCGATCAGAGTTTGGAGCTTTTAGGCTCAAGGCGAGGAGATCCTTGGGCTGCATCTTCAGACGCCGGCACTTCGCAAAACCTGCAACCTCCCACAAACCCCCAAGGAGCAGGATTCGGGAAGGTGCTGCCCTAGGGCCCTAAACACTAAACCCTAAACCCTAAAACCCTAAACCCTAAAACCCTAAACCCTAAACCCTAAAACCCTAAACCCTAAACCGGAAAGTCCCGTGACAGCCTGGAGAGGCACCGGACAGCCTACCTTCCAGTCTCAGGCTCGAAGCCCCCTTTGAGAGAGCTCCAACTCTCAACATAGGGGCCTTTAAGTTACTTCTTAGATGCTAGAATATAATACTGTATACATATATTTATATATAATATGATATTATAGAATATAATGCAACGTAGTGTTACTCTGCTATGCTATATTTTTGGATCCTCAAGCGCCCGAGAGCTTCAGAAGACCAGAACTCAAGGCCCGAAGCCCAAAACTCGAAAGGCCCCCGCGGTCCAAACACAAAGCCGAAAACGGAAGGCAGATGTGTAGACTGTGGGGAATAGCGTCTATAGTCTATAGGGCTTCAACTTTCGGGCTTCACCAAACAGCAAAAACTTAACTCTTCGTTTTGAAAGGGTTGGATCTTCGTAGGAACTACGAGTATCAGATCTTACTCAAACCAGTGCTCCAGGCTGGCGTGTCCGTGGTCTGCTGAAGGGGATGGAAGATCAAAACCACCATTCACCATGAACTCCCAATTGCTGCTTATCTTACTGTGTCGGTATACTTATGTGCTTCTGTTTCCGTATGTATGCACGTACGTAGGTAGTTCACCGTATGTACGTACGTAACTATTCCTGTAGGCCTGTCTGCCTGACTATCTAGCTGCCCGTCCGTCTTGCTTCCGTCTATATTGCTGCATGTACGTGTAATTCCGTGTAGGTCCGGTACATGTAGATGTCAGCGCATACATACGTGCACACACTTGTAGAAACACATGAAACACATCATCTACTCCAGGCTGTAGCAGCACAACCTTTTTCGCAGGATTTTTGGAGTCGGAATCAAGCCCAGCCCTGAAAGCCCGGCCCTACACTCAGACGTGCCGCTAACACCTACACGCTCTTGCCAAGCGTTCAACGCCTTAGGATTCAATCGACCTGGAACACATGAGCCATGAAAGAAATCCAGAAAAGCTGTCATAAAAACTCGTGGAAGGCATCAGTCGCAATAAGCATAGAGTCATAGAGACTTTAGGGTGGAGACTCCCTGGATCGGAAGAGTCTCCGGGGTCCACAACTGGCGGTTTCGTCTAAACGCTATTATATGCATAATATATATATATATAATATAGATATATATACATACAGGTTTTGCCGCTAGTCTATGCATGAACCAATCTGTCTGCAGGACCCGTGGCAGTCCTCCGAACCTTCTTCGTCTTCGGGGTCCACCAACTCCGTAGCCCAGAGCTGGGCAAGGCGCTCCTTCGCAACTGGAGCTGCTGCAACTTTGGGGTGCAGGTCGCAGAAGGGAGGGTTTAGGGTTTAGGGTGTTTAGGGTTTAGGATTTAGGGGGGAAGCTTAAAATTTCATGAAGCAGTTCTTGGACTTTGACTGACGACAACACCGGTCCATCTCAACCCGAGCCTCGCAAATCAAAAGCTGCACCCCGCCCTGACGGTTCTAAACTCCAGGATATTCATCGATACCTCAAGGTCTACCGAGTTCGTCCCACAAAACCGCTCAACCCCATCCAGCCTCCTCGATTCGCAAGACCTCCTCGTACCAGGCCATTGTAGGATTCTGCCATCGAGTGAGTTTGGCGCACTAGCTCCCGAACGTGCTGGCTTGTGAAATTCCACTGGCATGTGCGGTGAAAGCTATCGGCTTTAAAAGGCCTAGCTCCCAGGCTTTTAAGGTTCACGGACCATCTCTCAGACAGGCTTTGGCGATGTCCGCTCATGAACCCTAACAGGTCGCAACAGCACTGCAGGTCTCACATGCAGACATGCTTCCGAATCTCTCAGCCCTGCAGAGATGGTGCGACTCCCAGGACCATGGAGTCACGGTTTCCAGCCGAAGCCAAACAGTTCGGACAAGGAGGACAGCTACAGTGCAGCAAGCGTTTCGGCTTCTGAGGATTTCCGGGCAGCCTGAATACCCAATGCCAAGCACCTGAACCATGACTCCCTTAATGATTAAACCCAGCTACCCAACTCGAGATGGTTGCTGTTTCGCCGGAGGTGACCTCGTCCAACTTCTTGCGAACTCGGGTACGGCAGCGCTCGGCGCCCTTTCATCTTGAGGATCAAGCACTGCAACAGAGAGCCCTGCCGCTGCTACTTAGTTACTCGCGGTTTCGGCCCAGCTAGCCCAATCTGCAAAGGAAAGAGGGGCACGCGAAACATGCAATGTCGTCCATGGCAACGCATAGCACTAACCATAGAATCCGCATCCCCTTGAAAAATGTTTCCAAACCGCCATAGCCCACGCAAAGCCTTGCAGTGTGGCCAGGCGGCATATGGGGGTTTCCGAAAATAGGGGTCCCAATATAGTACCCCCAAAAGTAGGACCCCCATTATAAGGACCCCAAAATAAGGTACGTACCCCTTATTTCCGGGAGCTCCCATATGGGCTGTTGGGCTTCCCACGTTTGGAGTCAACGACAGCTGGAGCTGCTAGACGTACGAATTGTAGGGGCCTTAATAATTGGAATAGGTTTCTGGGCTCCTTTGTAGTATTACTATAATAAGGAACCCAAATAGTAGTATTGGTAGTTATTTAGGCTTCCATGTTACCGTCCCCCTTGAGAAGACTCAGTCAATGCCCATGTAAGTCCGCACGAGACTCTCGCATCCAAGACTGCTGAACCCCCGGGTCCGCGGATCTTTACAAATCCCAAGACCTGGAACTCAAAACCCACAACCCCTAAACCCTAAGCCCGAAACCGTGGCAAATCCCAAGGCCTGGAACTTAAAACCCACAACCCAGCCCAGAAATGCCTGAGTCTCCACGGACATGAGGGTGTGGATGAGGTTCATGTCCCGGTTGCCGTGGTGATCCCCCTCGAGATCTGCATCTTCGGCAGGAGCCGCAACAGGAGCAGCAGCAATAGCGGAAGGAGGAGCAGTGGGAGTGGGAGTATGAGAAGAACTAGTAGTGGGAGTTGTAGCAGTAGTGGTTGTCGTCGTCTAGGTAGTAACTCGTGCTGCTGCTCGTAGTACTAACTTGCTGCTACTACAACGAGGACGACCACTAATGTCACTTTCCGACGACTCTAGCTCTAGCAGAGATACTGCTGACACACATCGTAGCGGCAACCATGCAAGTCGTCATATTCGTGATCTGATTGCTTTGATGATGATTACGGCACGGTTCCAAGTAAAAGATGCAATTTCGGTCCTGGCAGCCATGAAGTCAAGTCATGTGTTCTTGCTGCGATGGTCATTTCTCCATCCGCCCCTCGGGAAACATTATGAAAGATTGCCTAAACTCAACTCTAGCAGCCTCAGGACAAGCATCCAGGGGACCTACAACGCAAACTAAAGCCAAGCACCACGATCTGCCCGTAAGGTTCTTGCATGTCATGTTCGTCTCTCTAGCTACTACTACCGTTGATCAGGTTGTGCTGCTGTCGTCTGACGTGGTCATGGCCTACGCAGAAGTGTTTCTCCCAGCGTTCTCTTGCTCGGAACCACGGCTGCAGCACTGCTGAGGCTTGGACGACATGATGTCGATCCTGAGAAGGGCAGAGGCTCCGGGTGGCTCTAAGGTGAGGGATTGGAGGGCACATTGAGATTAAGGTGCAAGATCGACACCGGGTTGAAATCGGATCCGCAGCGTTTACGACATTTCCAACTTAGTCACTCCAACTCCTTGTAATCAAAGCCTGAGTCTCTAACTCTAAACCCTTTTGTCACGAGGGTACTTCCGTCTCCAAAGTGTAGGGGCCTAAACAATTACAAATGCTATCTTGGGGTTTCCTTATTATAAGTATAGCATAATGAGCCCCAAGACCCTGTTCTAATTATTGAGGCCCCTATATTTACCAGTCTGCCGGAGGAGAAGTCCAAACCCCAGCTGAGACCCGTGCGTTCCATTGACATCGAAGACCTACGGCCGGCAAAGAGCTGGACTTGGTGAGCTTGACCTGCAGATGTGGGTGGTTCCCTACATGAGGGTCCCGTTTCAGGGTCTTTTGAACCAGGTGCCGTACTATTTGGGGGACCTTAAATGGGAACCCCAATTCAGAGAACTACCCATGTGCAGGCTGCAGCTTGGGATGCGGTGGTCTAAGGACCCAGGACCCAGGGTCCGCTACTCAAAGTGTACCAGTATTACGCTACAGCGACGACAACTCCGATCCTATTGCCATTGAGTTGATGAACCGTTTTTGGAGCCGAGGCTTTCGGAACATATTGCTGTTTAGGAGTAATGGGCTTTCTAATGTTTGCTTATGTTCGCCCTCTTTTGGGGCTTCGCGGCTTCACGGTTTCAAGCTGCTGGAGCTTACATCGGGCCTCCGGGTCTCGTGCACGTCTACGGCTTCCAGGCAAAGGACTTCCGCAGGTTGGGAAAGGAAGGCTTCAAACTCCAAGGAAAGTCGAAGTTGGAAGTATCAGCAGTACGCTGCGTCTGCCTAAACCCACAAGATCCCTCAACCCGAAAACAACTGCAAAGCCACTCTTGGCATTGCATGACACGACCGGAGCCTGCCGCGGTCTCATGCCCAAGGCAAGATGCCCCAGGCCTGCAAGTTGTTTCTATCATGGGCTTGACAAGGCAGGCAGTTTTTCTGTTCGCCGTCAGGGGCTACAAATGGCGGCACGAACGGCTGCACACCACCACCGCCACCATGACGACCACGGCCCAGCGGTTCTAGTACAACAACTTAGTGTTTCCTCTACTCATTGTCAACATTACCCGTTGTGCTGAAGACTGGCCCCTGCTCGGAGCCTTTGTTAGAATTCCACAGCTTAAGCATCACACAGACGTAAATGCCGGAGTGGACCGACTAGCACAACTAATAAACACCCCGCGGTCGATGATTTCGTCTTGTTTTCATTCTTGGGAGCCACATTGCCGGAGCACCAGGCCAGAACCAAGCTGTTGGTGCACAACGTCAACCACAGCAGGTAAAAAGGTAACGCCCTGCCTGCCGGCCACTGCACCTTGGGCCGAGGGGCCTCCGGAAGACGAGAGTGCTACCACGGTACCGCTGTAGAACGCACTTCGCACTCGATGTTGGGCTTCAGGATCTTCGGGGTTCCGGGCCTACGGATTGAACACCGTGCCGTTTCTAGGCCTTTCCACAAGATCTAGTGGCTAAACATGCAATCGTGTGTCCCATCCGCTTGCGCTTGTGAGGGAATTGCAGGGAGAGTCCGCAGCTTCCAGGCACCATATCGCCTACCGGATCTAGAGGATGATGCGTTTCCGATTGCCTAAGTTGTCCAGATGAAGGCGTGTATAGCTCTTCTAGACGGCGAAAACATGCCCCATGCATATGTCTATGTGAGCATACAGATAGACGTACAGTAATGAGATAGGTAGTGCATGGATGCATGTGCATATTTAATTGCGTATAGTTGTAAGCGAGTATTCCTTGTAGAAGGGTTGATAACAAAACAGACATACACGCATCCATACATACATAATACATACATTCATACATGCATACATGCCTGCATGCATACATGACATGACATGCATACATACTTACATACATACATACATACATACATGCATGCATGCATGCATGCATGCATGCATGCATGCATGCATGCATACATGCATACACACATGCATACATACATACCTACATAGCACGTATCACCATTGCTCTTACCTCAAGCAAACCTAGCATTTTAATCAAACATGTATAACGTATGTATGTACACCTGTACGTATGTACGAATGCATGCTTTCATGTATGCATGCTCGGATGTCCACGCGTCTGGAGGTACGGATGTACGTATGGCTGAAGGTAGGTACGCCGCCATAAGGCATGTGTGTAGGTCGGTATGTATGTGGGCATGTCTGCAAGCATGTCTGAAGGTATGTATGCAGGTAAATAAGAATGGGTCCATGCATGCATGTCATCTGAATGCACCTGCTGTTGTGCATCTAACTCCATCAGGTGCTCAGAGCCCGCGTCGCTATTCGCCCCAGCATAGCATTGTACAGTATGCTTTTATATACCATGCTACAATATCACATGATGTGATATAGCATGGATTGCGGACAGTCTATCATCCGCATCAAAAGGGTGTGCTGGATGTGCAAATCATGTTCGCAGAGGCAGAGATCCTGCTGATATGCAACCGAACAGGTAGCTAGCTTCAGTAACGCCTGAAGCCAAAGAAAGCAGGGATGTACAGGAGTATTGCTGAAGGGCAAGCAAGCCAGGAATTTTTGCAATGCGATACAAACAGAATCAGAACATGAATAGTCATACGCTGCTCTTGAGAGAACCAGAACGAAACATCAAACCACGCCTCTTAGACTCTTAGCCTGTCACTACTGTACTAGAGAGAACCCCTAAACCTCAAACTAAAACCTCATCACACTGCCCAATGCCCGAAACCTTACAGCAAATGCCGGGCTCTCTGCCTCCGGTCTAGCTGTCGCGGCCTCGCAAAATGGGTTTAGGGTGTAAACTCCGTGTCGGGGTTCCTTAGTCTACATTATTGCCGAAGAGGAGGCGTTGAAGAAGGCTTCTTAGTAAGGAGGAATACAGCCTAAACACCCTGAATCGTCTCTTCTGCTGCCTGGCAGAACCGTGGGGAGTGATACAAACTGCAGCAGAATGCATGGAGTCTGCAGGTGAAGCCCATGTCAGTGTAAGCTATGCAAGCTCCACTCTCCCCACACCCTAAGCCCTGAAAGCCTAAACCTCAAAAGAACGAAGGGGCCAAAATCTGAGCTCAGCACGGGGGATGGCACGCGGCTGTTCGGTGAGCTGCCTTCCAAGTGTCAGAAGCAGGATAAGCCACGGGATGCAACAAAGCGGCAAACCAAAATGATCATGGCAACAAGCAAGCGGGAAGGATTGAAGATGTTCTAGTCTAGGGTCGGCGCAGGTACCCGAAGCCAGGCAACAACCACAAAAGCACCATGCTTCTCCGGGCCATAAAACGGCATTGTTGCTACGCAACATGCGCGTGAGCAGTCTTGAGTTCTGAAGCCATCGACACGCTTAGCCAAAAGCCCTGTCACCCAACACCCTCCCCCCAACCCCGGTATCAAGCCCTGCCGTGCAGCACCTCCTTTGGGCGACTGGGGAGCACTTCTGGGACTCGCCCCATCAGAGGCACTGTCGCCGTCCTTGGCTGCAGCCCGAGCCTGAAGGCAGCGTCCATTCGGGTCATTACTATGATTACTATGACGAGCTTCTATTTGGGCGGTTGTCAAAATTATGGTCCCTTTCTGGGTCCGTAATATAATACGGCACTTAATATTTAGGGTACCCAAAAAGGGACCCTAATTTTGACAACCACCCAGTTGAATAGGTCGAATAGGTGCTTTGAGTGAACTCCAGTTTCTCAACGACCCCCCTCATGAACATACAACAGGTCAGTAAGTAACAGTCACAGGAACACAGTTCAATTCGAAGATCATGATCGTACTGATCGGGATGATACTACACTCAACAGCTCAGAACACCATACCATTAAGGTCTGAATAAAAACCATGAAAACACGGTAACTATTGAACCAAAAGAGATGGCAGAATGCAACCAGGAACACCCACATTGAGAGAAACACACGTGAAAAATACCACAGCTCATGTCAGCAGAGACGTGCAAACAATCCTGTTCGAAAGTTCATACAGGTTGACTGCAACCACTGTTTGAACCTTGTGGGGCTTTTACTTTGCAGATAATGGGCTTGAAGGATCAGCCCTGTAGTGCGAACAGATTTTTGAGGATGATATACTGAAGTTCGAGTTCTATGATTCACTACCCATGAACTCCAAGACAGGTTCCTTCTGCCAGCTAGGGTTCCATGGCCCAGCTAGCGTTGACACTTCTTGTCAGACCGACCTCCACATTCGGCAAGCCCGTCACAATAACCCTGCGAGATCACACCACCCGCTAGGAAAAAGCATCAGTTCGTCATGACATTCATAATCGTTCGCAACATCAACACCGCAGACCCTGGACCCGAGAACCCTAAAGACCCTGCCAGCAACTTGCCATCTTGTCCGAGCTGGGCCCTGCCTTCTTCTGCTCCTTCTCCTTCTCCTTCTTCTTCTGCATGCGTTCCCTTCGGGCTGCCCTCTTCTCTTCCTCCTTTCGCTTGGCCTCCTCGCCAGGGATAGAGAGGTCCGTTTTAAGGCCTGAATGCTCAAGACGTCCCGGTTCAGAGGTGCTTCTTGCCTCCGAAGCAAACTACATGTTGTCCGATCCAGAAAAAGTTCCGGCTTCTGTGAATGGCTCCTCCTGCGCAATGAGCTCTTTAACTTCTGCGCCAGCCTCGCGAGCGGAGACTGCCGGCACGACTAACGAATACCGAGCAACACTTGATGCCCGTATGGCTTCATGTTTCGACAACCCTTCGTGCGCGATGTCAGACAACTGCAGTGAGCTACATGATAGGACCTTCTCATCGATTCTCTCGAAGCTCACCTCGCCGTCTTCCTGCGAAGGCACAACTTTCAAGCTAGCATCTTTCGCGCTTGGAGTCTCCAAGCTTGGCTTCGGGACCTCACTTTGAGTTTTTGCATCCTTGGGCACGAAGGAATGGGTGCAACAGCATAGCCTGGGCCTATGCCACAGCGAGCTTCTGCTGTAGTTTGGCCAAATGACTCGCATATCTGCCAATCTAAAAGCTGAAAGGAGTCCCCTCAAACATTGAATGCGGCTCAGGGCTGAGGTTTCAATACAAGGTCTGTCCTCCAGGTACTCGAACAGACGATTCCTGGGCAGTGGCACATCACTAAAAAGCTAGCACACATGCAGTCGTAGTCTTACGAGCAACAGTGGCAAAACACTGTCGTGCGAGGTGCGCCGAAAGAGCAAGGTAAACAGTTGAAGTACTGAAAACAGTTGCAAGCACGCTCTCTCGAACTGGTGTTCCTTCCACGCGTAGATGTAGCCTGCAGCTTTTGTATAATCATCGGAGCCCGGAGCTGTAGCATGGACCAGCTCTCCTTGAATCTCTGCATTCAGCCCTCAACCTTACATGGATTGCAACCTCATTCCAAAGCCTTGCCGAGGTGCTCGTTTCCCGTAGTTTGGCACTCGTAGCAGACCTCCAGGAACCTTAGGCTGATTGGTGCACCCACAAAGGAGGCAAGTCGAGGTTTAGTTCACCTAGTGAGTTTTCATGGATTTTGTGATCAATGCCCTTGGAAGCAAGCACCCAAAGGGAACGGTCTGACAGGTCCATGCTGCCTTCGCGCTTTCGGAGCGATGGTCTCCAGATTTTCGCAATTAACAAGTGGGTTTAGGGCAGCAAATGCAAGGATCATCGTGACTTAACGTTTGGGATCTAGGGATAAGGGCCTTAGTGGGTGCACGGTCGACATGAATTCACAGTACCCGGAGTCTCACTTCCGTACTAACCTACATGTACCACTCCTACCACACTATCGGGAAGCCTCAACACTGGTTTAGGGTTTAGGGTACAAATAGGCAAATCTGCAACTAGCACATCTCATGCTGCGGAGATCTGTCTGCTTTGCCAGACAACTCCCCCGTAGCATCAATTTCCGAGCCCCGAAGCCTGAAGACCAATGTTCCGCATTGAAAGCCCCAGACTGTGACCACATGAACTCTGAAGATGGTCTCGGTGGTGTGCTGCTTCTGACGACGTTGATCTTTTTGATGCATGATGACGGTAATGGTGACAGTGATGACGACGAGGAGGATCAAGTTGAAGTAGACGATAGTGGTGAGTGAATGCATACATGCATGAAAGAACGAACGAATGAATGCATGAATGGAAAAACGAACGAAATCAGTAGACAATGACACCAAAAACGAAAGAAATAACGACAGAAAGACAGACATAAAGAACGAAGTAAATACATATATAGAACAGAAGGCATATCTCAACTACAGAAATAAACACTGCACACGCAACATAAAACCACAACAGCTAGCGTGAGCAATGCATAAGGACAGAAATAAATAACGAACATGCCAAGATCAATAACTGACTACATAAATGCAAAATCAGCAAGTACATCAGCAAATACGTGAATGAATAAATCAATAACTACCTAACGACATAATAACGAAACAAAGAAATCAAGAACGACATAACCACAAAATAATGATGTACATAACGACAGAAACAAATAGATAGACGGACTATTAAAGAACAACAACCGACACAAAAGCACCCAGACATAATACACATGAATGAGGAAATACCGAAAACGAACGATCGAATGAAGAGTGGTGATGATGGAAATGATGGTGATGATGATGACGATGACGACGATGATGTTGACGGCTGTTTTTGTGTTCACGTCGATGATCATGTCGATGGTGGTGACGGCTGCGACCAAGAGGTTGGCGACGACTGGAAGCCTTTCTTAAGGATGATGATGATCATCAGCATGGAGTTGGTGATGACGGCAACCAAGGCTACCACAAATGTTGCTAATTATGGCGGTGAGGCTTGTGATGGCCGTGGAAGACCGCGGACATGAAGAGTGTCTGGTGACAGGGCTACTACCGGAAACCTGCTTCTTACCATGAAGCAGAAGAAGAGGCTCTATAAATGCTGTCTTAGCAGCCGCTTCTTGTCCAGGGCAGCTCCGCCGTCGCGCATCTGAGCGGGCGGTCGCACTGTTGGCTACTCCGAGGCCCCTTTAGGAAAAAGGCGCTCGTTTCAGGCTAAATGTCCCGCTAGACTATTTTCGTAAGTTCTTGGTACACTCGTGTAGGACACCATGAATAGTTAGCAGTCAAACAGTGGTGGTGGTGGTGCTGGTTAGTAGTAGTAGTAGTAGTAGTAGTAGTAGTAGTAGTAGTGGTAGTAGTAGCAGCAGCAGCAGCAGCAGCAGGAGTAGTAGTAGTAGTAGTAGTAGTAGGAGTAGGAGTAGTACTAATAGTAGTAGCAATAGTAGTGGTAGTAGTAGTCGTAGTAGTAGTAGTAGTAGCAGCAGCAGCAGCAGGAGTAGTAGTAGTAGTAGTAGTAGTAGGAGTAGGAGTAGCAGCAGTCAGCAGTAGTTTGCAGTAGCAGTGGCGGCAGGAGTAGTAGTAGGAGCACGAGGAGAAGGAGGAGTAGTAGTAGTCGTCGTAGTAGTAGTAGTAGTAATAGTACTAGTGCTAGTACTAGTTCTACTGGTTTGTAGTTGTAGTACGTAGTCTGCAGTAGACGGGTAAGAGCAGTGGTAGCAGTGGCAGTTGTAGCGGTAGTGGTAGCGCTGGTCGTGGTGATGGCATCGGTAGTAGGTAGTGATGGTGGTTGTAGTGGTAGTGGTAGCTGAAGTCGTAGTGGTAGTCGTAGTGGTCGGTCGTAGTCGTAGTGGTCGTAGTGTTCGTGGCAGTGGTAGCGGTGGTGGCGATAGCCGTAGCGGTGGCGGTAGCAGTAAGCGGAAACTAGTGGTGGTTTTTGCAGTGGTAGTAAGATCAGAAGATGGGACGTAGGACGGATGCACGAGCAGGAGTAGGAGTAGCAGCAGCCTTCACTCCTGGCCTTCAGCATCATGTTTTTGGCGCTGCGGAAGCGTTCAATGATCTTCTGATGGAAAGCCTGCAGAAACTTCCATCAGCTTAGCATCTCAAGTTTCTGGTTGCCTCGGTTTCAACTGAGGCTTACCATGGCTCTTTTGAAGCACAGGCAGCTAGCCGATCTTTGCTATGCGACATTTTCCGCTGTACAACGGCCGAGAAGCCGATCTGGACTACTCTCAGCTGCAGCATGCGGCCTCGAGATCTCTGCCGATGCCAGGTTCGAACCTGAAAAAGCACTGGCATTAGTGGATATCGGCTTGATGCTGTGCGGCAAGAAGCTTTAACGTTTCAACCCTCAACGACACTATATCCAAAACAGCTTCGGGTGCACAGCAGCTCAAAGCCCAAAACGGAAAAGGTTTCGGAGGATTCCATGTCCACCCCTACACAGGCCAGTTAATGGGACCTCGAAGCAGTGTGCTTCGAAGCCCCAGCTTGTAAGAAAAACCTAAGCCGAAGAAATACACCCAACTTCGTATACCGATATCTGTTTCTGAGTCTTTCGGACCCTGCCCTTCTGAAGCTACTTTGAGGGCAGCGCAGGGTCAGCGACAGTTTGTCCTCCTCCACGGGCAGCAGCTCCCAAGCCTCCCAGAAGTAACAGAAACGACATTTCGCGCCAAATTAGCATCACTGCCGTCAGCATGAGCATTGTCAGCATCATCATCATCATCATCATCATCATCATCATGATCGTCAGCATCATCATCAGCATGACCATCATCACCTGCATCACCATCACCATCATCACCACCACCACCAACACCGTCATCATCACCATCAACACCGTTATTATCGTCATTTTCGTCATCATCATTATCACCATCGAAATCATCATCAGCATCATCACCATCACCATCACCAACATCATCATCACACACACACACACACACCACCACTTTGTTGTCAGCATGCCGATGCTAACGGTGATGGTCTGTGTTCCCAAGACATCGAATCATCGTTGTTATTACCCTTTCAACCATCCTGTTTCCATAATCATACTCTTCAGCCCGTAACCATCGTCATCGTCATCGTGGTCGTCACCATCATCATCATCATCATCACCATCATCATCATCATCGTCATCATCATCATCACCATCATCATCATCATCATCACCATGACCATCACCATCATCATCATCATCATCATTATCATCATCGTTACACCATCAGCATCATCATCGTTGTCATCGCTGCTGTCAACATCCTCACTGGCCAACAACAGCGGAGCAGTCTACACTCCTGTAGCTAGCGGTCAATCATGAGCAGCTGGTGACGTCAGAACTCGTAATGGGCAACCTGTGTGACCTGATAGCGAAGGCCAGCATTGGAAAGGACTTCTCGCGATAACCCCAAGACGCCACGTCCTAAGCACAAGATTACCCACCTTCTGGGCTTCATGGTTCTGCATGCCCACCTGCAGGCTCGGAGCTCAGGGTGGTGGCTTTGTTTAGGTGTTTCAGGTATGTCTGCCATCAAAGCCTGCTCAATCCAAACCCCATGCCAGAATCCCGCAACCCCAAATTCAGACAAATCCCGTCGCCAAAAACCCTGAGCCCTGAACTCCTAAACCCACCTAAGCCGCAAGCCTCACAACCCAACACTCAGAAACCCCCAAACTCCAAATCCTAAGTCCGCACCAATCTCAAGCCCAAAAGACAATGTAATACCCTACGAAACGAATAAACTTCACCCAAGAAATCCAATGGCCTCCTCGAAGAAGCTCAGCCAACCATCACGCCCTGGCCGTGATCAACACGAAAAACCCTAACCCCCCAGGTACCTACTATATAGGGTATCAGAGCCCCGGGGGCCCTATATAGTAGGTACCTGGGGGGCTAGGGAAAGCTATTGAAACATGCGATCGATAGCACATGGCGGTAAAGAGATAAAGAGTCACAAGATTCGCTCCTCTAGATCTATAGACCCCAGAGGTGCAGGGAGTAAACTTTCTCTTGTTTCCCAGGCTTCCGAGGGTTGAGGCATGCGCGTGGGGTTCAGGGTAAGGCATGCTCCTCATTGCTGAAGCTGTGATGAGATCTTGAAATAAGGATTGCGCGCTTGATTCAATTCACTGTCCTCAGCACATCAGGCGCTCAAACTAAGCATTCACGCGTGCACCGTCAACATCCAAACTTGATCCTGCAGAAACCTCGAAAGCCGACGAGAACTCCAAAATCCCTATAGACCGATGACTAGGGCTCACGCCAATCTCCTTGGTAGCTTTGCCCTGCACCTTTTTCCATGCGCCTTGGAGAAGGGGCTTGATCCTTTGCAAGGCTCCCGCGTGGATTTTGGAAACTTCGGGCTGAGGATGTACTGACCGCAACCGCAACACTACCTAGTCCGCGAAGGCAGTTGATGTACTCAGCCGGACAGGATAAGCTCTCGGCTCCTGGACCTGCATAAAGCCCAAGAAGACAAAGCAAGAACAATAGACTCTTCTCTACCGCTGGGGACTTTTTCAACAACCCCAGAGTCGCTGAGTCTTTATCACACCCTCAGCAGAAACACATCTCAACGAATTCGGAAAGGCGTAGGTGGGGCAGAGGGCATAGGGGTAGTAGGGCCTGGTGGTTGGGGCAGCACTTCTTTCCAGGGGTTCTAGATCCTGGGATGAGGACCCCTGCTTGGTCTCCGCACCTCAGTATATCATGTTGTATTATGTGATATGATATCATATGATGTGATATGAGACTATAGTAGAGTATGTTGTATATCATATCATCTAGACTTCAAAGTTCCGGGTCGCAGGGCAGTGCCGTTTCATTGTTTCTGTCGATTCGCTCAGGCTTCTGCTATGCGTGTTATCTGCCTTCTGCGTGCCAGGACCGGAACTGAGGGCTTCGCGGGTAATGGTGCTGAACCTGGCGGCAGTTTTCTGATCAAAGTCCGGAAATGTCACACACCAACCTTGATGTCCCTAGTGCTGAAGAAGCACCCCACGGTTCGTCTTCCACTTCAGCCCGGATGGCCCCACACACATGACTGGCATGGCCAATGTGATGTCAAGAAATGATACGAGTCAGACTGGCTCGATCACTGAACCCTACCGCACACGCTGCGATTAACAGCAGGTTCTCTCAGTCTCATTCAGTAGGAACTGTGTCATCACAAGACCCGGAGAAATCACAAACCTTCAAACTCCTAAACTTAAGAACCCTCAACCCCACACCATTTCTATACAGAGATCGCCACATTCACAAATTACGTAGTGAATCCCAAACCTCAGACCCAGTCCCCACGTGACCACCGAGGGAGCCTTTTCACCAGGCGGCGACGGACCTCCAGGAGGGCCTTCTTCCCTGGGCGCTTGGCGCGCTCCTGAAGGTCTGGCTTGGAAACCCTAACGCCCCAGGTACCCATTTTTTTAGGGTACTAGAGCCCCTAGGGCCCTATATGGTAGGTACCTAGAGGGTTAGGGTCTGGCTTGGAAAGAGTTGTGACTTTCAGAGCTTTCGGGCTTTAGGTCAGTAGCATGCAGCAATCCAAAATGGTGTCTCGGCTAGTATAGGCAGGTGCAAGCGAAACTGCCGGAGTTGGTGTTGGAATCCCGGAAAAGGTCGCGATGTCGACAGCTAACATTCACTGTCCTCGCATGTCGACTTGATGTGACTGGAATGGAGGACAGACTTCCTGCAGAAGGTAGTCATATTATAAGAACACTCCCGAGCAGAGGTACTTGAACCCCATGCGATGCTCTCAACTTCCGCATTTTCATATCATTTTGTGGAATGTAGAAGCTGGCCATACCACAAGCTGCAAGTCGAGGATCTTGTGCTGCATGCTCGGCCCCGAATGCGGCGCCATCGGGTTGCTCCTGCCGCTCTTGATGGTTTCATGGTAATCCCACAGTCCTAAACTCTGCACTCAAACCCAAGCCTAATCCCTTGTGTACGGGCGCACATGCACTTTCCGTCTCTCTGTGCGTGAGATTGCGAGAGAGACAGAGAGCCAGACAGAGAGAGGGAGACACACACACACACAGACAGACACAGACAAAGAGTTTGTCTGTGTGCGTGCCTGCGTGTGTGTGTGTGTGTGTGTGCGCACGCACGCGCATGTACGTGTGTGTGTGTGTGTGTGTTGGGGTATTGTCATCTCTGTCTGTCTCTCTGTAAATGGGTACGACTAACCGAGATCTCTGATGTCGGCGGACATGGCAGATACTTTCTTTGCCCTTATCATTTCTACGATGGCGGGCAGTAACCAGAACTCCTCTCGTCGTTAATGGTGTCTTTGCCTTCGTTGTTGAGATGATGACGATGGCGATGACTCTTATGATAACGGTCTGATAACGATGATGGTGGTGACGACGATGACGGTGATCATCGTGGTGCCAGCACCATCGTCACGACCGTCACCAATAGCGTCACAGGGATAGGAATCATGATTCGTCCTTCGATGGAGTGTACGTCAAGTACTGTACATGATGGACCAAGCGGGCAGAGCTTGCTCTGATCATACCGACCACAAGAAGAAACAGAAACATGTGATGCTTCTATGCAGCTTCGCTCAGCCAGGCTTCATGCTACTTAGTGTCTGACATCCCATCTCGTGACCGGAAAGAAACCTTCTTGCTTCCGCGAAAGCCCCCTACCATCAATGCAAAGATCTCGCAATGCTGCCTGTACAGCCGTCACAGAGCTGACCTCCCGACCCCAGGCTCTAAACCCGGGTCCTGAAAGCTTGCCTTCTGCTGCTGTATCATGAGCCGGGTCTTCCTCGGCTGCTCTCGTGATTTCAAAAACATGTCAGGATGCTTGATCTCGGATACGACACTTCAATAATCCGCTAACACGCGAAACCGTATACCCAACACCATACAGGAAGAAGGAACGAACGACAGGAATAGGGGGAACGAAATTCAGGCATGCGCCCCAGCCTTCCGACATCATACGGGTATATCCAAGGTATTTCGCCTACAACCTCATCCCTAAGCTCGAAACCCAAAAACCCTGAAGCCTTTTTGCCTAAACCTTTAAGCCCCAAAGCCCTCATCCCTCAACGCGGTTTGCTTTTGTGGACCCAGCTTCGTGGACTTCATGGCATCCTCCGCCACTTCCCGGTCGATCAGCGAGAGGCGGACTTCTCCGGTCCTCTTGGGATCCTGGCAGGTCTTTGCCCAGAAAACCCAATACCCCTCAATTAAAGAATATACCTTAAACCCTAATATGAAGGCCCCTATAATTCAAGGTCTATTCCTCAATTTTAAGGTGTATTGGGTTCTCTGGGTGCAGGATCTTTAGGCTTCAGCGTTCGTGCTGGAACAATATAAGCCAAAACCCCGACCAAAAAAAACCGTGTTATGATAGCTCTATGACTCCTTTGCAGGCATCATGAGAACACAGTTCTCGGTGAATGTCAATCCTGTGTGTGTGGCAGCTTGCATATACCCTAAACCCTAAAGACGTCTACATCCGAGGCACGAGGAACTCGAGCAGCCGGAACATGCCGTCCGTCAGTTTGATCTCGTGGCAGAGTTGGCGGAAGTCCTGTGAGACCCTCTAAGGCGAAGGTTGAGGGTTCCTTGCTTCTCCGTTGGATGTTCTAGGTCTTGTAGGGTTGGAGAGGAGTTTGTAAGGTCTGCGCGGCATTAATTGCAGGTGACATCCGGCTGGCTTTCTTACGACTCCGAACTACTCTCGTGCGGCCTTGCTGCTCATAACTGACGTCGTTTTTAGCGGGGTTCCAAGGTTCACTGACATCCTCTTGCCACCCGGCTTGAACCAACGCTCGCAACCGAAACATAAAATCTGGAAACTTTTTCGCGGGTTTTGTGGGTTTTTGTTGTAAGCTTCCTCAATAAGGACACCCGACTTGAGCTCCTGGGGCTTCTGTGCAAACGAGCTGCTCAGGTTTCCCCTAAACTCCCTATCCTCACAAATCAACCAAGCCCACTTCCAGAAAAAACACACCTCGAAACCACAAGCAGATTGTCAACTTCAGGGGCTGCCTGGGGCTTCATGGTGTAGGGTGTAGGGTTTAGGGTTTAGGGTTTTATAAGACCTTCAAGTGCAGCTCAGCGGGGTCCTCTCGGGTGATGATCCCCACCCCCTCCACGTCAATCGCTTCGAAAGCGTCTTGGAGACTGCCGAAGCGATGCTCGCACAGATCCTCAGGGTTTCGTGCTTGGCACTTAAGCTTAGAGTTGATCCTTACACGGAACTTGGGTACAGTCCTTGTTTAAAGCACGGCAGCAGAGAAAGCCAGCAAACAAGCCTAAACAAGGCTCTCGTTGTTGCAGGAAGTTTCGAAGAAACCCGGCCTGGTTTTCAAGGCTTTGTGGTTCGGGGAGCTTGTGGATTACTTGGTTTGGGCAATCTTCGTGGCTCGGCATGTGCAAAGCCTTAAAGCGCGCTGCAAGCTGCAGAGAAGCTGTGGTGGTGCGGCTCAGAGGGATTCGACAAAGATGATCTTGTGATGCTCGATGGTAGTACTATTATCACTACCTTTTCTCCTGCTCCTACTACTACCGCCGCTTGATTTACCTATTGCCGCTCGCGGCCATGACTACGACTACATGCAACGCTAAAGCTGCTGTGGCTGCTGGTGCTTCTACCTGCGGCTGCTTCGACTTCCATGATGATAAGGAAACTACCGAGCCGGTCTTCTGCCAACCATAACGATGCCCCGAACCCGAATGTAGCAAGTCATCGGTCCTTGAACTTCTCGAGCATGGCCGGGGTACGCGGGTCCAAGTCCTCCAGCGCAATCCTCGGCTACAACTAGGGAGGCACTGTATGCTACGACCAGGTCTTGCCCGCAGGAAGCTATGCTGATAAATGTTCAGCTAAAATGTCGGGGTGGCCATGTCATTGCATGGTTGTTGTCGCCTTTCATACCGACTTTCAGTTGTGCTGTGGTGACCGTTGCCTGGTATCCGCACTCTTTCAAGCCATGTGAAGCTGGTACCATGTTTGTATGTGCTTCTGCCGGGGAACGTTTGGTATTGAGGGTGCCCATTGACGAAGGCCAAAGGTGCTCAGACACTGAATGAAACCGCGTTCTAGTTCGTGTATCCTAAACCATCAACCCTATATACCATTATATACCTCAAACCCCAAACCCCAAGAATAGAGATTCCTGAAGCTCTGCTGAGGGGCTGTTCCGTCTCCTTGTTCTGGCAAGCCTGAAAGATCTTTTCGGCTTTCAGCCTGCGAAACGTAGCAAAGACTTAAGGGTTTAGAGGTTTAGGGTAGGGTCTAGGGCAAAGTTGAGGGTTTAGGATGCCCGAAACCCTGAACCATTAAAGGTAAGAGTTTAGAGTTCGCAAGTTATGGCTGGCCTAGGGCCAAGGGGTTCAGAGCTTAGCCTTTTGAGATGCGGGTTCCGCGAGAAGACTGGAGGGTTCTAGACTCCAGAGAGTCGGGTCTAGGGCATTCACCTGGATGCAGAAACAAGCGTTTAAATTCAGGAGCCCTAAAATCCCTAAACCCTAAACCCTAGCTTACGGTTTCAGACTGCTTGGGTGTGTGGCTTTTTACGTCTGGTTGGGCTGATGCTGACTCTTCCTCATGTTGCCACCATGACTGTTCCCGGAATGGTGTCATTCATGTGCCGAGGCTCGAGAATACCACTTGCAGCCTGGTGACAAATGGCGATGGTGAAGATGATCCGCATGGACCCACGACCAAAACGGTTCGAGACCCACTAGCTCACAGTAGGGCTACGAGACTACGAGATTCAGCCTTGCCTTGAGCACCCGCGATATTCAAAATCTGAAAGCTTGCAATTGTCAGAACGTTAGGCCCCGAAGTCTGTCGGTCAGGATCGTAACGACCCAGGGCATCATCACCACCATCAGCACCGTTACAATCTAGGTTCATTGCCACAGCAACTGTCATTATCGGTATCGACACGGTCAGCAGCACGTGTACAGGTACCGGCATCATCATCATGGTCGCTGCGGCCATCACCAGCATCCTCATCACCACTATCATGATCGCCGGCACATCACCGCGAAAATCCTCAGCCTACGACTAATGCCTCCGTCACAACAGCGTACACCTCAACCCCTAACCCCCCGCAAAATCCCTAAAACCTAAGCCCCGGAACCGTGGCCTGAGGGCATGCTCGCCACCATCTGGCATCTGGCCGGATCGCCGAAGTCCTGGACACCAGGTGCTTTGCAGCTGTAAGCTTCGCGGCTTCCGGGCGCATGCCTGACAGACCATATAAGGGGCCTTACTCATTGGAGTAGAACCCAGTAGAACCCATATCCAAGCCCGAATCCTACATGCAAACCACTTCTCGAATTTCCCATCAGACGGCTTGGTCTCAAGCGCTCATCTCCCCGATCCACCCCGATCCCTCCCCCCCCCCAAAAAAAAAAACGGCACTGGGGCAGATCCCAAAGTCCCCAAAACCCAGAGGGTCGGTCCTTTCATCAGCTGATCCACGTTCCTGGGTTGTAGTTCTGTGGGGGCCCTGAAAAGTCTGTATGAATAGGTACCTCTATAAGAACCATAAGGGAAACTTTAACTTGGCTGACTTCTGAACCCCTCCTAAAAGTTAAACTTTTAGCCTACTTTTTTCTGTTTCATATAGAAACCCCAAAAGTTAAAGTCCTAAGAGCCAACCAGAAGAACGCCAAGTTAAAGTTTCCCAAAGTGCCACCCTAGGTTCTCGATGACCATCTTCAGCTCCGGATCCAAGGCTAAACGCCAGGCTTTCGCGAGGCCTCCGAAAGCAAGGGGGACATTTGAAGGGGGCTTAGGGCTTCTCAGGCTTGGTTTAGGGTTTAGGGTTTAGGGTTCATGATTTGGGGCTGCGGCTTCTCAGACTTTGGGATCCCCTTACCCCCCAGGTACCTACTATATAGGGTACTAGAGCCCCCTATAGGGCCCTATAT